GGGTCTGCGAGACCCCATCTCTCCATCCGTCCATCCGTGGTTTGGGAACCGCTGTCCTAGAAGCAGCAGCCACTGAGGGATAAAGGGGATCCAGTGATGTGGCCACTGGGGCATAAAGGATCCACTGAGGCATAAAGGATCCACTGATGTGGCCACTGAGGCATAAAGGATCCACTGGCGCAGCCACTGAGGGGTAAAGGGGGTCCACTCATGTGGCCACTGAGGCATAAAGGATCCCCTGATGGATAAAGGATCCACTGAGGCAGCCACTGAGGCATAAAGTTACAGCTATACCAGGGGGCCCTTAGGGTCATTGTCGCCCTGCTTATTGGGGGAGGTTTTGAGAAATTGAGTCTGGTTAACAAGGTACTAATTAAGCCATCCTCTGAAGAGGAAAAAAGGATGCCGGTTATTGGCGGTCCCTGCTGCCCCCTCTGCTTCTGCTTCCGAAACCAAAACCTGGGCAGACGAGGTTCTTTGGGTCAGTCCGATATGTTTTATCAGATCGACATAGATAGCTGGGAAAACTCTTTAAGCTTTCAGGCACAGATGCCCTTCGTGAGGCTGAGGAAGCCGGTCTGTGCTCGTCCTGAGTTTAACATAATCAGCACGCCATCCAATGTTATGATTTAGATCAGCGTTTCTCAACTCACGGGTCACAAGAGTTATATGAAAGGGTCACGAACAAACTGTAAAGATGGATTCTCCTTTAAAGGAGAAAAATGTGGGCTTTTCCCTTGCAGGCTGGCAGAGCTGTGGGGGCTGCTTGGAGCCCCCCGCCCCTCCCCCCATATGTCACACCCAACCCCTGCCCCACACACTGGGGGGCTGGGGCCAGGGGCAAGGGACAGTGGGTTGGGAGTGGGGGGCACTGGGCTGGAGCTGGCCATTGGTATTTACAAATGGGTCCTGGTACAAAAATGGTTGCGAACCACTAATTTAGATGATGCTGTGAATCCTCACCGTGAAAAACCAGTGCATCTCTAAAAATTGACTTCAAAATGAACATAATTTACAGTATCAGAGGAGGGCATGTGGAGAATATACAAATTAAAATATATTTTAGAAACAAAGCCTCTGTATTTTTAAACCAAGCTAATAGCCAACATAAAGTGCCAGTTGATCGAGTGGCATTCACTTAATCATCAATGCAAAAGGTTTTGCCTAATGCAGACTTCCATTTAAGACTTTCTAAACAGTTTTGAGTTCAGGGCTCGGCGACGTTTTTGGGCAGAGTGCCAAAAACACTCGCATCCTCTGCTTGGAAGATGTTAGCGTGCCAGGGTCAGATGGCAGGGGAGCCATGAGGAGCCTGTTACTTGTTTCGGCAGCATGGCCCGGGCCCCTTCCCCACTGTCCACCCCAAGGCACACATGCCAGGCAAAATGCTTTCATGTGCCATGCTTTGGCACGCATGCCAGGGGTTGCCAACCCCTGCTCTAGTTCTTTTGCCTCTGGTTAAAAATGTTTTATATGTAAATAGAATAAAACCAATGAAGAGTAATCGGTCTCGATCTGCAGATGTCCTGGAGTATGAGCTCTGAAATGTGAATTACAACGTTTCATGGCAACAGCAGGTTAATGCTTAAATCTAATGATCACTTTAAGAGCCAGTTTTTTAAATAATTTAGTTGTAAAGCTGCTTGCCTAATCTGCTGGAACATTATGATTGTGTGTAAATATCAGGTATCTGGATATACAAAGAGACAAAAGGCACAGTTCCTTTTCTACGGCAGTTAAAGGCAACTCTCCTACCTAGTAAGTTTACTAGGTGAGGACCAGCATTCTTCCCTCAAATTTTGTAGAAATCTTCCATTATTATTGAAGAAAATCTTATGTAGATCAAAGCCATTATATAGTTCTGGCTTTCTGAATTTGGCCTGTAGATCAGGATTAAAACTATTTGGTCCTGACAGAATTGAGTTGATGCTGTACCTAAAGATTTTGATCCACTTTTACATAGCAGTTTTCTACCCTTGATAAGCATGTTAGAGCAACAGCAAGTATACTTTGTTTGAGGCTGGTGATCCTGGAAAACAATTGGAAGAAGTATAATTTTAATTTTTTAATGCTACTAGCATTGACATGAAAAGGAAGAGTTGGGACTTTATGGAAAGAGGAGTATTTCCTGTCCCAGTATTGTTCTGGAGTGTAGGCATTGATGTTCGTGATAGGTCATGTCAATATTGTAGCATGTCAATCTAGCCTGTCCTTTTACAAGTTACTTTGAGACTAATTGTTTGTAATCAAATTACTGCCTTTGGTAACCACTGTGCGTGGGTGTCATCTTTACTGTAGAAATGGCTTGTAGTCTTAGCAGAAGTCTACTGGAATCATAGCCCATTCAGTGTTGTACCAGGAAAAAATGAACACCATTGAAAATACAGCAAACCATTAGGCCTCCAAAGCAATATTTTAGAACCTAACTGTTCAGCTTTATTAGTCATTTTATGCATAAGAATTGTCATTACCCATTATTTTCACAAGTAGAATTGGACCAAAAAGTCATTCAAATATTTTTGATGAAAAACTCCTCTTTTGTCTGAAAACAAAATGTTAAAACAAGGCCAAAACCTCCAATTTTTTCAGTTTTGGGGCTTTTCATTTTTTGGCTAGAACTCAAACTCTTGAAGAAAAATCCAACCAAAATGCAAACATTGACATTTTTCATAGATATAGAAATATTTCAGCTCCAGTTATGGCATGAATAACCATAATGTAGCCGCCGGGCCTCATACATCTTGCCTCGGGCTTCCTTGCTCCGAGTGCTCACCGGTACTCGGCTTGCCGTCGCAGGTGGTCTTCTGGGAGGTCTTTCCATGCGCTGCAGTCTGCCCTTTTCTCGCCTGCCACGACTTGGATCTTTCAGTGGGTGGGGCTTCGTGTAGCGCAGTTACCCTTGTCGGGCACCTACGTCATAGATGTCTTCTGCGAGGCTCCTCCTCCCCTGCACCTCGCCCTTACCCAGCCCGGCGGATCTTGACTGTTTCTGTGGGTGCTCGAATAATTCCCCAGATACTCAAATAACAAGCTCACCCCTCGTTCCTACTCCCTGCTGTCACACACCTTGCCCCTTCTAACCCAGGGAAACACAAAAGGAACCTTTCAAACTCAACTAAAACTCTATGGGTCTAATGAGAGATGTAACCCTGCCCCTATTAGTCTTCCTAGTGGAGCCAGTAGTCTCTCTGCTCCTCTGCTTAACAACCGGGTCACATGCTCGTGGCTCGGTTCAGTAACCCTCTCTTTCTATGTCTGACTCCTGCCACTCCTTGCCAGGTATCTCCCAGGGCGACCCTCTCTCCGGGTCTTCCCCAGCCTTCTCTCCGGGTCCTCCCTGACCCATAGCCCTCTCTCCGGGTCTTCCCTGGACCGCAGCCTTCTCTCCGGGTCCTCCTCGGACCGCAGCCCTCTCTCCGGGTCTTCCTTGGTCCGCTGACCCCTCCATGCCGCCGAGGCTCTTACCTCTCTCTCTCCCGGCTCACCCGCCGCTGTCATGCTGTCCTTGGGCATCGGCTCATCCCCGGGCTTCTTTAATTCTCCGCGGGGAGCACTGGCAGTCAGCTCCGGCGTTCCACGCCTGCAACTGACTCCACTGGCCAGGCTCCCTCCTGGCAGCCCCGCTCCTCTCCGCCGCCGGCCCTTTTATCGCCGCCGGCCGGCGATTAGGAGTGACGTCACCCACCAACCGCAGGTGACTTAAGGCGTCGTCCAGGCCACGCGCGAGCTTCTCCAGCTGTCCCTGCTCTTCCTCGTGTCCTGCAGTGAGTACGTTTTTTTTATTTATTTATTTATTTTCTCCGTTCCGCCCCCTGCCTCTGGCTCTGGGGCTCCCTCCATTGGCTCGGGAGTCTCCCCGGTCTTTCTCCACCTGTGACATAACATAGAGCAGAAGTCTGCTAATCAAGTAGGTCCTTGTTACAGTTATAATGGCTGAAAGCTCCAAAGCCTGGTGCCTAATTCATTAAGTTTAATTTACCATTATCTTAAAAACGAATAAACTTATTCTGCCAACTTGGCTTACTACTGGAATAGCTTCTCTATCTAGTACCCAGGCAGTATTAACCAGACTGATCTGTGTGGTAGGAAGGCCATCACTCTTTACAGGTTGGATTGATCAGATACTATAACAAGAGATGATATATTTTTTTTTTAGTTTGCATGTTCTTTGGGCTGTTGACAGATGAGCAA